CTGAGCTTCACCATTCTTATCTAAAGCTTGATAGTAATAATCGTTAATACATCAGAAGCGAAACTGGAAGAAGTTCCTGTGAGATGAGAAGCAGTTTTGGATATATATAGTAAATAAAATGAAAATCTTCATAATGAAGCAGTTTTTATCTTCTTTAATAATCTGAGCCAATTAATGAGTCGGATGCTTCTCTTTCGAAAATGGTGTCAATCAATAACTGGATTCCGTTCTTGTTTAGTCGCTCTAGAAACCTTGCAAAACTCGTGAGCATTAAGCGTGAAATATTGGGTTGATAACTAAATTCCCGCCATTTTTTTTTTAAATTTTTGAATCTATTGTGCTTTTTAAATTTTGGAATCTATTTTATTCGAGAATTCTATTTTTGAATCATTTTCTAATCAATTTTGTTTTGTTTTTTTCGAGTTAATTTAATTTCTGTTTATTTTCAGATCATTAAAATGGAATGTCAAGTTCAGAAAAATGAGCATTTTCGACACCTCCTTCTTTTTGCTTTTAATCAAGGTTCTCAGGCCGCAAAAACTGATCGCGACATTTGTGCTGTGTATGGAGAGGATGCCATAGTCGAAAGAAGCACTCGTGATTGGTATGCCAAGCTCAAAAATGGAAATTTTGACCTCAAAGACGTACCTCGTTCTGGCCGTCCAGTTGAGTTCGACGAAGAGAGATTAAACCAACCTTTGCCCCCAAATTCTCGTCAAACGACAATGGAACTGGCAGAGAAAATGGAATGCTCCTACCCTGCTATAGAAAAGCATCTTCACTCGATGGGAAAGGTTAAGAAGTGTGGAGCATGGGTTACGCATGCTTTAAGTGACAACAAAAATCAACGAGCCACAATCTTTGTTGGTTTGCTTGCTCGTCACCGCTTAACACATGGACACAAGGAACGATTTTTTTTTTACCGAATCGTTACTGGCGACGAAAAATGGTGCCTGTACATCAATATAAAGCAGCACAAGGAATGGCTTAGCCCCGGTAAACAAGCGACACGGCGCGTGAAACAAGATCTTCATCCGCGTAAAACGATGTTGTGCGTATGGTGGGAACTGGGAAGAGATTATCCATTACGAATTGCTTGAACGGGACCAAACGGTCAACAGATGGAACGACTCAACATGGCTATTTAAGAGAAAAGACCTAATAGGCAGCATGGAGTTCTTTTGCTGCACGACAACGTTCGCCCCCATATCGCCAATATAACCAAGGAAGCCATTCAAACGCATGGCTGGGAAGTGCTACCACACCCACCGTACTCTCTCGATTTGGCACCAACGGATTTCCACCTCTTTCGATCTCTTTCAAATACTATGCGCGGTGTTTCGTTCAATACTGATGCAGAATTGAGAGCTTTGTTGGATGAATTTTTCGAGTCAAAACAGTGTGATTTCTATCAACGACGTATTGGAAATCTTGTTGAACGTTCCGAAGTTGTGAAGAACAAGGGAGAATACATTATTGATTAATTAGTTATTATTTTTTATTAAACCTTTTAAAAAAATTAAATTTAAAAACACAGCGGGAACTTAGTTGTCAACCCAATAGATACGGTTTGTTCATTTGTGATGTAACTTTCTGAGTATAGCGAGATCAAGTTCAGAAGATAACAGATTTAGTTGTAGGAAGACTGATTGGTTATTTGGTGAAAGTCAAACTGGTAATGCCTGGGTCTGCTTCTATCCATGATTGGCTGCATGGGCGGGTGGGACGCAAGATTAGCCAGAACATCTGGAGATTAAGAACATTAATTATGTTTGACAGAACAAAGAATAAACTAATCCAGAGACCAGAAGATATCTGAAGCATGAACAAGACACCATACTGAGACCAAGCTTGTCATTTGCGCATTTTCCTGCTGTTCTTCTTTATATCTATTTCGTGTTTTAGAAAAAGGATAGGAGAGTTATTACCCCAGTCGATACATACGCATGTGAAAAAAAAAAAGAAGAAAAAACGAGATATATTTTTTAAAAACGTTTCTGCCTTGTGTAACATGCATTTTTTCGTCGATGCCTCACCCTTTTCGGCTGTACTTGAATCCCTAAGAAGCTTCTTGATTAAGCCATAAGAGTATTCGATATGACGGATTATGGCAACATAGATAGCACAAGAAAGATTCGGTGTCAAGCCACATTACTGAAACAGATTGTGTTGGCCGCATCCTGGTATTTTTACAGTGCTAGAATTTGAATCAAACCAAACAAGTAAATTCTAGCACAGTAAAATATACCAGGATGTGACCAACAAAAAGTTGTCCATTATACTGACAACACCCAGTTCTTGATAATGACTGAGGCGGTCGAAAGTTCTTGAACAAAACTAAACAAAAGCATGAACTTCAGGCAGTTTATCCACAATTTTGATCCCGCTATGCAATATCTTATTCGAAAACTGGAAAAAATTCAATAAAAAAATTAAACAGACAGTCCTTACTTGCATTATTTACATTATTCGAACTGTTATCCTCATCTTCATTGCCATATTCCCAATTTCTTTCGGCCGTTGTACGCTCCGGCCTTCTTCAGGTGACTGGAATTTCGAACTGAACCCTTTATTTCGTCCACCGCGGTTGACTGTTCTAGTTCCACGTGCCATGCCTCTTCCGGATGTCTCAGTTACTTCAACTCTCCAATTTTTGGTTCACCACTGCTGTGGCCTGGTATTGAACTCACAACTCTGTGGGTCTACTCACTGGATCTAACAAGAGTCTTTATCCACTAGGCCATGTGTCCTTGAGTTAAAGGAAAATAACTGAGACATCCGGAAGAGGCATAGTACGTGGAACTAGAACAATATACTCCGGTGGACAACATAAAGGGTTTGGTTCGAAATTCCAATCACCTGAAGAAGGCCGAAGCATACAACGGCCGAAACGTTGTGAATATGGCACTGAAAATGAGGATAAGAGTCCGAATATTTTAAATAACGCAAGTAATCACAATACCTCATCTCATAGATATAGACAGATACATACTGTCCTTATTGGTTGAAGTTATAACAACTTGTTTGTATATATATATGTGTGTGTATGTGTATGTGTGTGTGTGTGTGACTGTCTGTTTTTATTATATATATGCGTTGTTATTTATTAAAGTTTATGTGTATGCCTGCCTTTAATTTCCAAACAACTGCACCTATCCAATTGCAAATTGATCCACATATGCAACTTTTCGAGAAAAATCTGCTGCTCTGCATTACAACTTGCAATGTTGCTACTTTGAAAAAAATGACAGCTGATGTCTACAAAAACATCATTGCAGGAACACATCAGCAGTTGTCATGTTAGTTGTCAAACTATAGTAGTAGTAGTAGTAGTAATAATAATAATAATGTTGCAACCCGATGATAATTATTTCGCCCAATTAATATTTATGTATTTAAAATATTGTGTTTAAGATAATCTTCCAAGTTTTTCTTTTTTATTATATCACTGAAGAAATATTTTTCAGTAATTTAGGTTTGATTAATGGATTCATTTCTTTTTTACGGCTTATCAACCCTTTGTGAATTATTTAAAACAGAAGCATATTTTGGATTGTAAGTATAAATCCTTTTTTTGTATGTGCGTGTGTGGATATTGCAGCAACAATGATTTTTCAAGGCACATGTCCTACTATTTAACTTAGTTTGGGGGAGGGGAGATTGATTTACGCCTTTCTCAAAGGTATTTTCACACAAGTGAATAGCAAACACGACTGCAATTCGAACGCGGGACTACGATTTCTCAATCCAAGCCACTATCCAATACACCACCTTTATATCCACTAGTATTTTAGAGCGAGCGTACTTCATAAGTTGGAATCTTTTTGAAGAAAGAAAGTTTTATAACTCGAAAACGCCTATCAAAATTTTATTCCAATTAAAAAAAAATATTATAAATATTTTGACGTAGTGACTGTTAATGTTAGACTTTGTATATTAACACCAATTTTAATTCTTTTCAAATATGCGTTTGATAACATTATTTATCGTTTTATTTTTACTACAGTGTCATGGACAGAAATTTAGGGAAAAACAAAATATATTTCTGATTTGGAAAGCTTGAGGAAGTGAATAAATAAAATTTATAAAATTAAAGCTATAAAACAGGTCTTCTATAGGATTGAAGAGTTTTTACAAATGCTGAATTCTCCCGTCGTTTTCCGACGTGTGAGGGTCAAGCAGCTAAGTTCCTCGGAACTGACAGCCCAGACACCAGCACATATGATTTTGATTCTAGTGGTGAAGGCTTTGTGCAGAACCAACCACACTTTTTGAAGGGCCGAATACAGAGACCTGGTGCACTGTGTGTCACAAGGTCCCTAAACAACCCTCCGCGGGTATTGAATTCAGAGTTGTTCTTCTCCTAGACCAGTTACCATCCAAGGCTATAGAACCCATAGATAGATAGATAGATAGATAGATAGATAGTGAGAGGGAGACGGGGAGAGATTTAATCTTTAGGAAAGTATTATCTTTCAATGATTTACTTTATCTTTTGTGTTTTTGTTTGTATTAATTTATTTTTTTCAAACGGATTTAGCGAAACTGGTTGATTTAAAAAGTTTACGATTATTTTGTTCCATATTTGCAAGTATTCATTTATTCTAAAACTAATAACACTATTTTCTAGTATAATTGGATATAAAGCTACAGTCAAGAAACTCGATAACTGTTTTTGATTTAACCAAAAAGAATTTATGCTCCCAGAAAATGCAAAATGGTAGACGATAATAATGAATACGTAAGACAATGTGCGCGTTCATAAAAAAAAATGACGCCAGCACGACGTACGACTTTAGGCTTTTTTTTCCAAATCGTTACATTTAAATTCAACTAGAAAGCGGTGATAGACATTTTTTCTCATACAAGAAAAGCAGGTTAAATTAAAAGAAAAGGGAAGAAAGATTTACAATTTTAGGTAAGAATTGCAAATTTCTGTTTAATCATCATTTTATTCATATCCTCAGAAAGTGTTTCCGGCTAAATGTGAGATTGCTAGAATGTTAGGAAAGTCATTAGGTAGAAATAGAACATATATATATATATATATATATATATATATATATATATATATATATATAGAGAGAGAGAGAGAGAGAGAGAAAATGGAATCTTTGCCTAAACAGACCGGGTTCAAATGCAATTGGTGTTATTGTATAACTATAATTAGTGGTTTCTTTTGGGGTTGTTGACGTCTCTCTCTGCCTCTCATTTTCTTTCTTTCTCTTACTTTCTTTCTCTTTCTCTCTCTCTCTCTCTTTATCTCCCTCGCTTTCTCTCACTTTCTTTCGTTCTCTCCCTCTCGATTTCTTTCTTTCTCTCTCTTTTCCCACTTTCTTTCTCTCTCTCTCTCGTTATCTCATTTTCTTTCTTTCTCTCACTTTCTTTCTCTCACTTTCTTTCTCTTTCTCTCTCCCTCTTTCTTTCTCTCTCTTCATCTCGCTCTCTCATTCTCTTTCCTTTTCTCACTTTCTTTCTCTTTCTCTCCCCTCTTTCTCTCTCTCTCTATCTACCTCTCTTTCTCTCATTTTCTTTCTTTCTCTCACTTTCTTCTCTCACCCTCTTTCTTTCTCTCACCCTCTTTCTTTCTCTCTCTTCATCTCTCTCTCATTTTCTTTCTTTCTCTTACTTTCTTTCTCTTTCTCTCTCCCTCTTTCTTTCTCTCTCTTCATCTCTCTCTCTTTCTGTCACTTTCTTTCGCTTTCTCCCTCTCGCTTTCTTTCTCTCCCTCGTTATCTCATTTTCTTTCTTTCTCTCACTTTCTTTCTTTCTCTCTCCCTCTTTCTCTCTCTCTTTATCTCACTTTCTCTCTCTCTCTCGTTATCTCTCGCTTTCTTTCTCTCTGTCTTTCTCTCTCTTGCCTAAATTTCATGTATTAAAATATAATCATCATAGTAAATGAAAATTTTGTTGTATTCATTTTATAAAGCCTACTTGTAATGTCACGAGAAAAGGCTCAAGATATGAGATACTAGTGAATCATGTATTTATTCTTTAACATAATATATTCTGTCGAGCATTGGAAGAGCAAATGTGTTTCGTTCGACATTTCCGAAAGGTTATTAAGTGCTATAGATATCTGATAGAAACTGAAGAATTACAGCGGCTGAAATATGAGAAAAGTAGTGTGAAAGAATCAATGTATGATAGAAACAAACCTTTTATCTTAGGAATTCGAATGAAAAAAACGTTGGAGTGTATAGAGACTGAAACGATCTGATAAAACAAGAAACACGAAAAAAGGTCTGAAAAATCAATGTATAATAGTAACAGCAGTATGTCTCAGAAATTTCGATAAAATGAACCTTTTCTTTATTCACGCAAAACCTGAATTATAATTTTAAATTATTATTGTTATTCGGATAAAAAAAAAAGCGTTTACAAATAATGCAATTAATGGAAAAGAGAAAGCTTTTTGGAAAAGCCAATGAAAAGTAGACAATGTGTTATTGCGTCACTTAATAAGTCGAAGAGTTTTAAGATTTTCAATCCGTGGTTGAAAACTGGTTGGTTTTAAGGAACTAAAAACACGCTTCATTGCTTTCTGGAAAATTCCCATATAATGAAAGCAGCACAATGTGAAACCTTCGCGAAAAAAAAAAGTCTACCTTGTACTCCCTTACATTTCTACCGTTGTTAAGAAAGAGGCGTTCTACTTGTATGTACTATGATAATAACTGATACATATATTTGCTATGATATAAACGACACAATTCTCTCTCTCTCTCTCTCTCTCTTCTTGGGTAAGACAATAAACTACATCCAGCAGCAAGGCCTCTTATCAGGGGGTTTTGAGGAGCGTGGAACCACCTCTTAATTGCTGGTGTTTCCAGGTCCAACCTGACCCGGGGTGGTAGCACCTGTTAGGGTTCCAGCTATGGGCAAATAGTTAACCCCGAAATTGGGGTCAAAACACCATGAAAGTGTAAAAACAGGTTTTAATACCAGAAATACTTTGTCAAGAAAAAAAATTATTTCCACCATTGAGGTTGATATGCTGTAAACCAAACCAAACCATTCTCTCTCTCTCTCTCTCTCTCTCTCTCTCTCTCTCTGCATGTGTATGTGCGTGCTTGCATAAATTCCAAGAATACCTTGTTTGTATATTATCGGCCACCAAGAGCGTTGCAGCTGATTTATCTCTTTATATCGACATTCACATCTATATATTTAAAAGGTTGTTTTTCAATCAACGCACTCAGGTTCTATCGTCTGTTGAAATATGTATCTTTCAAAGAATGGAAAAATCGACGCAATCTTTGTTCATTTGAAAAAGAATTCGAGGTGGGCGAACAGAATCTATTCTGACCAAATATGAGCTTTAAATTTATCAACAAGTTTAGCAATATGTACAAGGCCGATACCTAATAAATACGTTTGGATATACGATTAAACTGCTTAATACGATTAGTTCCCACTGAAGGGATCATTGCGTCTTAGTAATGAATTATCACCATCATCATCATTGCATAGCGTATGACGATTCTGGAGATATCTCCTTCAGTATCTGTCTATATTTCTGAGATGAGGTATTATGTACATTATTTACATTATTCGGACCATTGTCCTCATCTTTGTCGCCATATTTATTACAACGTTTCGGCCGTTGTACGCTCCGGCCTTCTTCAGGGGGTTGGAATGTCGAACTGAACCCTTTATTTCGCTCACTGGGGTACACTCTTCTAGTTCCACGTGCTATGGTTAATGGATGTCAGTTGTCAGTTATCTCCTGTTAATTCCCCTCTGAAAGTTCTCCACTGCCTTAACCGGGTATTGAACTCACTACTTTTTGGGGTCCTGTCACTGAATCTAACCAACGCCTTTATCCACTGTGCCATGTGTCTTTGAGATCGCCTTGTTTTCATCAGGAATTATAGTAGGTGACAAAGCCTGCGCGAGACAGGTACTTTCTGCATCTGGTGCGGAATCAAAACTGGTAACCAGAGAAACACCAAATTCATGACGATACTTCTTCTCCTCCGCTGGGGTAGGGCATTCAGTAAGGGGGAGTTGCCAGAAATGTACTATGTAGTTTGAAGTAAGACTGTCAGCCACACCTGCTTCCCGCTTGTCTTAGTCGATTCCACAATAATTAGCTTTCGGGTATGTATATCTATTTCGTGCTTTTCTGTTGCATTGATTGGGGTGGGGGAGGGGCTAATTAATGGAAATCTTACCATTTCCATGAGTCTTTAATCCTCGATACGTGGTCTCTCCTTGTGCAGCTGTGTTTTGGACAGTATTGCTTCAATGCTTAAAGCGTTGGGACGCTTAACGATTTGAGTGTTTGTGATGAAGTCATTCCAGCGCACTTTGAGAATACAGTGGAAGAATTCCTGGCAGAATCACTGACGGAGGCGTAAGTGCTGCCAAAATATGAACTAAACTTCGGTACCACAGAGGAGAGAGGACAACTTTGTAGATCTTAATTTTCGTATCTTGTAATATAATATTGTTCCAAACACGAATAAAGTGCACACACACACACACACACACACACACACACACACACACACACACACATATATATATATATATATATATATATATATATATATATGCTCCTGAAAATTATTTTCCGTTGAGCATTATGAGGAGAAAGCGCGAATTTGTAAAGAGTGATTACTATTGCTTCTAATGCAAGACTCTTCTATTGAATTGAGTCCTCTCGGTCACTGGTGTGTTTGTTTAAAAAAATAAATACGCTAAAATTCACGTTCCTCTCTGCCGTGCGCCGATAGCTTAGCAAATCCGCTTCGATCTCGGATTAAAGCAATCGCATGTCTAGCCACACTGATGAGCTGTGATACAGCGAAACAGTCCGTCTGCGGATGACTATATATCTGTGTGTGTATTTGGGTGAGGGGGTATTAATGTGGATAAATCAAATAACTCACGTCTATACACAGGTAAGAGAATAAATATTTACTCAGTTTAAGGTGCAAACGAAACAGTTGTGAATGTGGTAAGGCAGAGCTAAGAAGTATATATTAATAAATATACATATACTTACGTTCGAAGCGCAACTTAAGTTTCGTTGTTCTACCAACTCATCAGGCACAAATTATCATTTTTTAAATTCGTGCCTGATTTTAAATATATATATATATATATAGTATTTTTTGAAAAATCAGAACTAATAATAATGTTCCTGGTGAGTTGGTAGAACAACGAAACTTTATTATTTTTGATTTTATATATATATATATATATATATATATATATGGGATTTTTTTAATCAAAAGTAATAATTCGTGCCTGATGCGTTAATAGAACAACGAAACTTTAAGTTGCACGTCGAATGTAGGCATATGTATATTTATTAATATATATAGAGAGTGAGACAGACAGAGAGAGAGAATAAGGAACGCTAAATGATGTGCAGAAATATGGTTAATAAATATTTCATTTATCCTTACAAATGGATCCCAATATACAAATAAAATGATTTTTCTTAAAACGAGAAATGCCTTCATATCTGTAGAATTCAATTTATCATTTCATATATGCAGCCTATTGAGAATTCGAAGTCCAGCTATGGACCTTAGCTTCATTGACTATTAGCAAGCTTAGTCAGTTCGATATTCTCTGGGTGTACTAGTGTTCTGAACTTGTGACAAACGAGAGTATATCTCTTTAAGTAAAGATTTTCCAAGCGTAGCTTTAGATGTGGCACAAGGCCGAAAGCATGGGGCATCCAGTGAGGACCATTACACCACGCCGAGGTGCCCATATATCTCTTTAAGTAACAGTAATTTGACTGATAGTTGCCCACACAAATGAATCTACGTATCCTCAGTACAGCAAACTTTAGTAAGCTCCTCCCGCGGATCGATTCTTTAGAAGAAAGAGTATGTTTTTTACAGGCGACGCCCAACTGCAACTGATGACGACATATAAATAATTCCTTGCACGGGTGCATTACGTGTGAAATATTTTGAATGAAGAATGCGTACAAAAAGAAAAAAAACTTTTGCTTCCGTGTGCAAGAGTTAACTGCAAAATGAAAAAAGAAATACAATGTGAATGAAGAACAAATACCTTTCTATTCTGAAGTTAAGTTGTGGGGGGGGGGGGGCGTCCATAGCTGACGAAGATAATTCATAGATAAGAGATAAAGGGAGTTTATCGAGGAGACGTTCAAAAACAGGCGATAAAGATGCCGTAAGAACTTTGAAAATGCAATCCAAGCCGAGAGATCGGATTTATTCATCATGTACGAGGGTCGCTTCGAAATTAATACACCTCCTATTTTATTACTCTGAACGACAACGTCAGCGGCAGATGTTGGTGATATAGAAGTAGATATTGAACCTTCACGCCAGTAACCCATATTTTTTCGCCTTGTTACAGATAGCAGTTGAGCAAGAGTCTGGCAAAATGGCGTCTGACATAAAAGTGTGTACGAAGCAGAAGTGTGTCACTGAATGCGGAAAAATTGCATGCGTTGACATTTGCTGAAAGTTTACGGAATCAAATCAGTTAATGTCAACAGAGTTACACGGCGGATAATGCTTTTCAGCAATGGTGACAGCGATGTGCATGACAAGCCACGTTTAAAAACGTGGTATGCAAACTCTTGTTCATTGTTGACTAAAAAACATAAACATTATTGGTGTCTATGTAAAAAATTGTTGTTATCGCATCAACCAATATTGGTGAATTAGCTCCCTTGCTTAAAAAAAAAAAAAAACTAATTAAAATGTATATCTTTCTTGCTAATGTACTCATCCTAATTTTCGAAACTGCTACTAGGGGACGCTCTCCGACACTATAAATACTCTGCGATAATTTTTTTATCACTCTTCTTACTTTTCACTTTATATGACAACATGTAAATCTCTCGTGGAAGATCGCATTCCCAT